GAAACAAATTTTTTGACATCTTTATCACCTCTTCTTACTTTCAATTTTTTGTTATGTCCTCTCGTCCTTCTTGCCTTCAAAATTAAGAAGTCCTCTTTATCCATCTCCACTCTTCCTGTAATACAGATGAACAGCATAATCACGTCCCCCTTTTCCTTCTTTCTTCCAAGGTAGTATGTCCTAATTTCTATAGTCTGTCCTTGTAACTCAGATCTCTTAGAGTAGGTGCCCATCTTGTAGCCGCTCTTTGAACTCTTTCAAGTTTGTCAATATCCTTTTTTTAATGTGGACTCCATACCACTGCACCGTACTCAGGGCTTGGTTGTATATATTGACCTTCTTGATCAATATACTATATTGATCTTCTTTACCATATTTTCATCCACATGCACAAATGGCCTCTTCATGCTGGCAATCAGTCTTAGCATTTTGTGGACCTTTTTATCTATATGATCATTTGGGTTTAGGTTTCTATTTGTGATTATCCCAAGATCTTTTTCCCTGTCAACTGTGTTTAATAGTGCATCCCCTAATTTTTGGAATAGTGGACGATTTCTACTTTCTACAAACCTGACTACGTGGCATTTATTGGTATTGAATTCCATTTTCCATTTACAATTCCACGTGAATAAATACTTGATGTCACTTTGGAGGCATTGGCATGAGACGTTGTCTGTTATCCTTTTTTGTGTCTTCCCATCATCTGCAAACATATTTAGATAACTACCAGGGCTTATGTTCGACCCTAAATCATTAACGATAATAGTAAACAATAATCGGTGCCAACACCAATCCTTGGGGTACTCCGATGGTTACTCATCGCCATGTAGGATGCTTTCCCCTAATTACCGTGCTCATCTGTCTTTCATGAAGTAATGCGAGCAACTTGCCTTCCACTCCACCTAGGTGCTCTAATTTCCATAGTAGTCTTCTATGGGACACCTTATCAAAAGCCTTTTTAAAGTCTAAATACACACAATCCACCCAGCCGTCTCTTTCTTATAATATTGTGTATTTGAATATTTATTTGTGTGTGCATTTGTGTGTTTATGTGTGTGTATTTGTGTGTTTATGTGTGAGTGTTTATGTATGTGTGTGTGTTTATGTTCTTACCTAGTTGTTTCAATATGGTAGAAGAGCCAAGTTCAGGTGGTCACGTCTGCTATATTTAAATTATTTGTGTGTTTATGTGTGTGTATGTTTGTGTTTGTGTGTGAGTGTGAGTGTGAGTGTGTGTGTGTGTGATTGAAATACATTGTAATACATTACTTTTAGAAGGTGAGATATAAATCGTATACAGGGGTGTCATTTCACCTGTTTTTTCTCTCTCATTCCATTTCTCTTGTAGCGGTTCCTGATTGGCCATCAATCTAGAACTGCACCTGACCTGTGATTGGCCGACCCCTGCTTCGGGACCGCCCTAATCGGCCGAGCTAACATCGCCAGTCAGGTACTTAAGCCGCCGGACCTGAGGTGGAATCATACGGGCTTACCTGGATCTTTAGGTCCAAGGTTTTTTCGTGCTGTCATCGTGGATGATTTAAAGAGATTGACACCCCCACGACGGACAAGACGATTGGCTCTTGGTGTAACTGCTTTGGGTGCAGTTGCGCAATACCTGCTTTGGGCTAGTGCCTTTAATTACAGCCTTTATGTGCTAGTAATTAAAAGCAGGATGCACAGTGGCAGCCGATAGTTTCGCTGCGAAGTGTTCGGCCGAACACATAAGGGCTCACGCCCGTTCGGCAGGGTTCCGACCCCGACCGGCCTTCCCAAATAGAGACTGTTGGCTACCCTGTGTGCTTCACCGTTTTTTTTATACCATTTCCGCCCTTTCATCGTCCAGTTGAATTAGCTCTGCTAGCCTCCCCTCTACCCATCATCCATCACCCTCGCTATGGCGTAACCCTATGGGTCACGTTATCAAATTAGCGTATACTGGGGAGCCTATCTCTTGCGAGGAGGCTCTCCAGAATATTTTCATTATCACTGAGGTGGCAGTCACACACCTCTTTAAGGTCCATAATGGCTTCAAGGTGACAGCTGCCAAACCCGAACACTTGACCCCATTTCTTTCGGTCGACGGCCAAAGAAGTTAAAAGATCACGGCTTCTCACCTGTTCCCTCCCCCGAGATGAAGGCTAAGTGTACGATCGTGGCGAAAAAGATCGACAAGACGATCCCCCCACGATCGTGCGAGTCCATCTGCCAGGTTTCCGTCAAGAACGGTGTCACTGTTCTCGACGTTTACAAGTCACCCGAATCGCGAATCGTCAAGATTCGCGTCTCATCCCCCAAGGAAGCCCAGAAACTTCTCTCTCGGGGACTCATGATGTTTAATACATCGGTCCCACCTACAACTTGGAACCCTAATGTTTTATTCACATAGACCAATGCCTTAACTGCTACCGATTTCACCACAAGAAACACCAATGTACACACCCCCAGAGATGCTCTCGGTGCGCCGGCGACGGTCATTTCTTCGCCAGGTGCACTGAAAACATCAAATGCTGCAACTGCGAGGGATCGCATGTCGCAGTTAGTGGATCCTGCCCTAAACGGAAGGAAATACTTAAGGCAAAACGAGCTGAGCTCCACCAAGACAACAACACTGTCCCTTCCTACACAACAACAGCTGCTACACGACCTGCTCAGACCAGTACACCCAGACGACCCACGACTTCCCCTCGGACAACTCTGCCCACACAACCCCCAACAAGCACCCTCACACCAAAACCAAAACCCAAAAATCCAAGCCATATTACACGTAAGTCTCATCGCTGCCAAATACAACGCAAAAAGATTCGTAAACATTGTCCCTATTATGCTCCAGAGAAACGGCTTCCCCAGCATTGTTGTCCCTGAGGAAATCTTTGAAGACGACAACCTATACATCCCTGAGTACGCCACAACAAATACAGAAACCACAGGAAATGAGGTGACAGACACTCACCCAGAACCTCATTCTTCCTCACAACACCGACACCTCGTTTTGCAATCTCAGCCACAACGAAGACAAAAAGAAACTGCACAAGCACGCCAAACTACAAATACCACTGATCACAAACGCAAACAAACCTCACCACCATCCACGCATACCAAAAAAGACAAGAAGGATCCTCCTGTCCCCCAAGCTCGTCGTCGTAGATTGGATGACACCATTCTTGACGACGACAGTAGCGACTCCGACATCGATGTCGAGAGCGTTCTCGAGGCCGGGCTTGGGCTCTCGGCTGGAGCCATGCTCCCTGCCAGGGGACCCCTGGGACAGCGTGGAAGCATCGGGAATTGGTCTGCCGATTCCCAGGACTTCCGCGTCGGTTCACAGGACTCCCTGCCTGACCTCGAGGAGCCGCCGATCGCGGAGCCGCTACAGGGCTCAGGTTACGCCACGCAAGGTACACCCAGGTAGAATGGGTGTACCTTGAGTGTCTAACTGACGACCGACCGAGCCGAAGCGGGTTCTTCCACCTCGGTGGAGGACCCCGTGTTGGCTAGGTCGATCTAGACGCACAATCCCACGCACGAGCTGCATCTAAACAAAACAAAAACTCTCTCCTTCACACACAAACATTCTACTCTCACTAATAACAAACACAACTCCAGCTTGTTCTGATGGAATAAAGCACTCAGACGGTTCCCTGTAGTGGGTCGTGACCGATCTATTACACGTCTGAACTCCGCGAGGAAGCCTCTCGCTTTCTCCTTAACATCCTGTGGGGTGAGTTGGCCTGTAGACTGACCAACAAACTCCGTGCTTGACTCACCGCTGGCTAGATGGACTCACCCTCCATCCTTCGTTCCGGCTGGAGATCAGGTTTAGGCCGTGATCTCTTTCTTTGGCATGGGACAGGAAATTCCCCTATCCACTCGTTTTGTTCAGTTTTTTCAGTGTTCAGTTTTTCGTGTTCTCTTTCTGTCTGCTTAGTTTTGTTGTTGTTTGGTTTTTGTTGTCCTGTACCTTTTTAATCTCGCTAATAAAGTAATCTCCCCCAGGTACTGCCCTCTCTTATCCCCGTTTTTAAATACCTTCACCTCGTCTCCTGACGCTTGTGACCACCACCTCACCCCTCACCCCTCACCCTCACTCATACCATATCCCTGCCATGGCGCTGACCCTCATCCTTATCCTTACCCTGACATCCCACTGGTTTCGGTTTCCGACACGTGGCGCTTGCTGCTAGTACTCGTGCCAGGACCACAAATCCTTTAGCGTAGGGGTTTGTGCGAGCCAAGGAAAGAAGCGTCACGGCCAGTGGAGTTAACCCAATCGTGGTGAGGCCGCCCGAGCCGCGCCCCTCCGGAAGACCTGCGGCCGAGGGAGAGAAATCTCCTCTCAACCCAGGCGGGAGTGGCCAGCCTCTGTGTGGCCTCACTCGAGCTTCATCCTGCTTCAGCGGTGATGGTTAGCCGAGGGACAGCTCTGGAGCCACAGTCGAGAGGCCGTGGCTCCGAGCATACCGCAGATGGCGCCAAAAACCTGCTAACTTCTCTCCCCTCCCCCTCAGTTAGCCGAGAGGCTCCGTGTCCGCCATAGCGAGGCTCCACGCCCCGTGGGAAAATTGTGGTGAGGCGAGCCGCGCTCAAGGTCGTGGGGTATTCCCCGCGCCACGAGTCGCGGCCTTGCCCCACCGCACGATCTCGCGAGGTACGGCCGCGCGGCGAACACGCGAGTCTGCCGATGGCGCTGGGCCCCTCGATCCTTTTCCTCTTTCAACAAACCCACTCCAACTATTACCCCAAGTTTACTTCGCAGGCTGGGTGAAGCCCCGGCTCCTTCTTCTCCTGAAATTCTTTTCCTCCTCCTTATCCTTCTCCTATCCCCACTCTTCCTTCCCCCCCCCCCTCTTCTTTTACATTTTAGTCTTAGGTGGAATCATCATTCGACGACTGATGACATTACTTGTGCTTGGCTCATTAACAATAAAGAGATAAAATCCAGTTTGGTTTCTTAACCTCTACACTGGTGACCCTCGGAGTGAACCAAGTTTTTACACAAGATGTCAGCAACTCACAGGACGCTACCAGTCTGCTCTCTGGCCAGCCTGCCGGAATGGTTTTTTCAAGTGGAGCACGAATTCCTCCTCAGGAACATCACCACCCAGACCACTAAATTCCGCCTGCTGGTCACTAACCTCCCGCCAGAACTTCTTCTGACCGTCGGCGACCTCCTGAATGATCATCGGTGCGCCACTTACGACGAGCTTAAGGAGGCCATTCTTAGGCGAGCAGCACCTAACCCTCTGACCACGTTAAGCTCCTTCCTCTTGTCTTACGCCGTGGACAGCTGTACTCCCACAGAAATCCTTCACCACTTCCAGCGCCTCCTCACCCGCACCGGCACGACGCTCCCACCAGACGTCATGCGCTCTCTCTTCCTCAAGCAGCTGCCTGCTGATATCCAGCAAATCCTGCTGGTGTCAGATGCCCCATTGGAGCACCTTGCCCTAAAAGCCGACGCGATGCTCGCAGCTAGGGCACCCACACCGTCAAAAGCGACAGTGTCTGCCGCTACAACCACCTCCGCCGTGACGTTGGGATCCCTTGCATCTCACATCGCCACACTATCCAAGGCTGTGCAGAAGATATCTACACAGGAACGCTCTCGCTGTCGCACCCCTTCGCCGCCACACAGTGACCGGGACTTCAGGCGCTCTCTACCGCCTAACCGCCAGCCTCGCTTCCGTGCTCCTGCACCGCTGCTCCAAGATTGAAGGGTACCGCGGAAACTGGGCGCGCCTGTCTTTCGCGGACCTCAGAGGCGTTTATTGTACGTCCGAGATGCCTCCTCCTCCCTACGTTTCCTCGTCGACACAGGGGCCGAGGTCAGCCTCCTCCCGGCCTCCCACAGAGATAAACGCCTCCCCTCCTCCCGCACTCTGGAAGCTGCCAACACATCGCCCATCAACACATACGGCGAGCGTTCGAGGACCCTCTCGCTGGAAGGCGAGCCCGCCCAACGATTCCATTGGATCTTCCTCGTCGCCGACGTCCCTCAACCCATCATCGGCGCCGACTTCTTGGCGCACTACGGTCTAACGGTTGATCTTCAAGGTATGGCCCTGATCCACCGAACCGGGGCCCGCACGCACGCTGCTCCGGCTCTGGTAAGTACCCCCCTAATATATAAAGTGCTTCCCAGGAACTGCGCCTTCAAGAACATCCTGCGGGAATTCCCGGCCTTGACCAAGCCGATCAACCGGGCCACCCAACCACGGCACGAAGTCCGGCACCACATCGTCACCCACGGTCCCCCTGCCCACTCTCGCTGCCGTCCGCTCGCCCCCGACAGATGTCGCAGTGCCAGGGCGGAGTTCGACCATATGATGCAGTTGGGGATTATACGCCCTTCCAGCAGTCAATGGGCGGCCCCTCTGCATCTGGTGAAGAAAAAGGATGGTGACTGGCGCCCGTGCGGTGATTACCGTCACCTCAACACGATCACCGCCCCCGACAGATACCCCCTGCCGCACCTGCACTCCTTCTCCCACAAGCTGTCTGCCTGTACGTTTTTTTCCAGGATCGACCTCGTGCGGGCCTTCCACCAAATCCCGATCGCTGAAGAGGACATCCCCAAGACGGCTGTGATCACACCTTTCGGCCTCTTTGAATTCCTCAGGATGCCCTTCGGTCTTCAGAACGCCGCCCAGACCTTCCAGCGATTCATAAACGACGTGACTCGCGGCCTTGAGGGCGTCTTCGCCTACATCGACGACATCCTCGTCGCCAGCATCTCAGAAGCAGACCACGCCCGCCATCTCCGCGCCCTCTTCGGCAGACTGCAAGACGCGGGCGTCGTTATCAACCCGGGAAAATGCCAGTTCGGTGTCGCTTCCCTCTCTTTCCTCGGCCACACCGTCACCCCCAAGGCATCACCCCAGCGCAGGAGAAGGTCACCGCTATAAGGAAGTTCCCCAGGCCAGCGATGGAGAAGCAGCTGCGGAAATTCCTGGGCATGTTTAACTTCTACAGAAGGTTCATCCCCGGGTGTGCCCAGCTCCTCAAGCCCCTCCACGCCCTGATCACACCTAACAGGGCCAGCAGAAACACCAGAATCGAGTGGACATCCTCGACTAACGAAACCTTCCAAGCCTGCAAAGAAGCCCTTGCCGCTGCCACCCTGCTTAACCATCCGCTGCCCGAGGCTCCCCTCAGCATAGCGATCGACGCCTCCGACACTGCCATCGGTGCGGTCCTCCAGCAACGCCAGGGTAAGCAATGGCAACCCCTTGCCTTCTTTTCGCAGACCCTGCTGCCACGCCAGTCACGGTACAGTGCCTTCGGAAGGGAGCTCCTTGCAGCATACTCCGCGGTGAGGCATTTCCAGCCGTCTGTGGAGGCTAAGGAATTCCACATCCTGACGGACCACAAACCCCACACCTTCGCCTTACACTCGAGGACCCGCCGCCAATCCCCTCGCGAAGAGCGCCACCTGGACTTCATTACCCAGTTCACAACGGACATCCGCCACATTCGGGGCTCGGACAATGAGGCCACTGATGCTCTGTCGAGGGTGTCCATATCTGCTGCGACTCTCGCCGACGACGCAGTGGACTACCATCTAGTAAGCAGAGAGCAACGCCAGGACACGTCCTTGACTCCACTCCTAAAGGGCCAGACTTCCCTCTACCTTGAGAGAGTCAAAATCCCGAACTCCTGCGACGACCTTCTCTGCCATGTCTCCCTCGGCTACCCTCGCCCATACATCCCGCCTTCCCTCCGCCGGCGATTCTTCGATGCCTACCACCAGCATCGCGGCATCCGGGCCACCCAACACCTCATCCGCAGCAAGGTCGTCTGGCCCGCCATCAACAAGGATGTTCGGCAGTGGTGTCGTTCCTGTATCGAATGCCAAAGAAACAAGATCCACAGGCACACCAAATCCCCCCTCCAGACCTTTCCTATTCCAGACAGTAGGTTACAACATGTTCACATAGACATAGTGGGACCCCTGCCCATGGACGACGGCTACAGCTACATCCTAACGATGATCGACCGCTTCACCAGAGGGCCTGAGGCTACGCCCATCCGCGACATCACCGCAGCGATAGTCGCCAAGACCTTCCTCAATACCTGGATCTCCCGCTTCGGCACCCCGGAAACCGTCACTACAGACCGCGGCGCCCAGTTCGAGTCCGAACTTTGGCGCCACCTATTGATCCTGCTTGGGTCCAAAAGAATCAGAACGACTGCCTACCACCCCTGCACCAACGGCATGGTCGAGCGACTCCACCGGCATATGAAGCAGGCCCTAACATCATCCTCGCCTAACAGGAGATGGGTCGACCAACTTCCTCATGTCCTCCTCAACATCCGGACGTCATTCAAAGAGGACCTGCGCAGAAATGGTCTACGGGACAACGCTCACCCTCCCTGCAGAGTTACTTGTCACAGCCAGCAACTTCGAACCCGGGACCTTCGGCAAACAACTCTGCGAACGAATGGCCTGGGTACGCAGCCGACCGACGAGACCCACCCGACAGCAGTACATATACATGCCTCCAGGACTTCAGGATTGCTCTCACGTCTTCGTGAGAAAACATCCCAGACCTCCTCTCTGTCCTCCGTACGAGGGTCCATTCCCGGTCATCCGAAGAGGCGACAAGACGATCACCATCCGCCGCCCAAAGGGAGAAGACACCGTGACCATCGACCGCGCTAAACCCGCACACCTGCAGCAGCCCTTCAGGATCGCTAAAGTCCGTTTCGCGACCGCGAAACTAGAGGGGGAGTGCTGTAGCGGTTCCTGATTGGCCATCAATCTAGAACCACACCTGACCTGTGATTGGCCGACCCCTGCTTCGGGACCGCCCTAATCGGCCGAGCTAACATCGCCGGTCAGGTACTTAAGCCGCCGGACCTGAGGTGGAATCATCATTCGCCATACGACTGATGACCTGACATTACTTGTGCTTGGCTCATTAACAATAAAGAGATAAAATCCAGTTTGGTTTCTTAACCTCTACACTCTCTCTTTCTCCATTTGTCTTTAGCTCTCTCACTCACTCTCCATCTCTCTGTCTCTCCCTCCATTTCTCTCTCTCTCTCTCTCTCTCTCCATTTCTCTCTCACACACACACTCACTCTCTCTGAGGAACATCTCCAATGTTAGGGACTCCAGACTCACTCTTGAAAGCTACAGGACATTCGATCTCGGGTCACGGGCTGACCTGGACGGCTCCCTCTAGTAGTCTCTCCCCACGCGCGCCCAGCTCGAAATGCCTCTTGGGTTCCCTTTGCCCACAACTACACCGCACGAGACATAGCCACGCCACGCTACCAGGCACCTCAAACAATAAAGGTAGAAACCTGAACTGGGTCTCCATACACCCACCAAAGTCAGGGGAAAACAAAACCCTGACAAACTGGTGGCAGACGACGGGATGTCGCTCTATGCAGCTGTGACACAAATTCCATACCTCCTCCTAGATGCACCTCTGAAAAATTGTAAGTACGCTGTGGGCACTTATTTCCTTTCCCCTTTCTTTGCCTATGTGTGCATGCCGTACGATTTTTTCGCATTGCAGTGAACATGTGTCCGTGCAAAGTGCACTTTCTTTCCTTTTTTCTGCAACCTACCATGTTTTATTGTCATATTAGATTGTTGTCAATCAATCTCTAAGTTTTTTACTTGCAAGAGTTATTTCTTGGCGTGTTTTTCCAATCTTTCCGTGATGTTAGAAAGTTCTTCACTGTTGCCTGCAATTAAATCGATGTCATCCGCAAATCTTAGATTGCTCACTTTTTGTCCTGCCACTGAAACTGTTCCTTCAAAATTTTCCATGGCTTCAAGCATTATTTGTTCTAAAAACAAATTGAACAACATGGGTGAAAGTATGCATCTCTGTCGTACTCCAACAGTAGTTCTGAACCATTTAAGTGCCCTTCCGTCAGATATTACTGCATTTGTGGCCTCATCATACAATGCTTCGATCAGATGTACTAAGTGAAAGCTGATGTTGTGCTTCTTCATCGTGTACCACAGAGCCTTTCTCCATACTCTATCAAAGGCTTTCTTAAAATCAATGAAGTTGTGATGTAGTTCTCGCTGATGGTCTCGGAATTTTTCCCCAAGGATTCGGACGTTGCAAATTTGTTCTGCAGTACTACGTCCTTCACAGAAGCCAGCCTGTTCCTCTTTCAGAACACTCAATCTGAGGTTTAAGTCTCTCCGCAATTACTCTTAGCATTATTTTACATGCGTGGCAAATTAATTACTACATTTTCGTAAGTCCCCTTTCTTTGGTATTGGTATTATCAGTGATTGTGTCCAGTGTTGGCCATTCTTTGTTTTTCCAAATTAGCTTACAAATTTTATGAAGTATTATAACAGTGGATTCTCCTATTTGGAGTAACTCAGCTGGTATATTATCCACTCCAGCAGCTTTGCCTTTTTTTAATTTGCCAATTGCATGTTCAACTTCTCTTCTTGTAATGCCAGGTTCGTCTGCATCGTCGATGTTTCCAGAATATAGTTATATAGTTCCTTCACATACTGAGTCCATCGTTCCTGGATCTTACTATTCTCTGTTAAGAGGTTCCCATTCGCGTCTTCTATGCCTGGCTGCTTTGTAGATTTCTTTCTGTTTAGCTGTTTGATTGTATCAAAAGCCTTTTTGCTGTTATTCTCTTCAAAACCTTGTTGTATCTCTTGACATTTTTGTTCCAGAAATTCTTCCTTTGCCTTTTTTATTTCTTTCCTGACCTTGATGTTAGCATTTCTATATTCCTTCTCTTTGTCACTGTCAATGAATCTTTTTGCCTTTAGCTCCCGCCTCTTGTCACATGCATTCAAAATGTCTTGTGTCATCCATGGTTGTTTTCTTGTTCTTGCCTTTCCTAGAACTTCCATTGCTGTTTCGTTCATAATTTTAGAGAATTCGGATGTAAGATTTGTACATTACTCTCTTCCATTTCCAGTAGTGCACCAAATCTACCACCAATCTTTACTTCAAATTCTTCTTGGCATTTTGTGTCCTTCAGTTGCTGCAGGTTATATTTAATTCTGCAATTTGGTTGTCTTCGTACTTTCTTTATTTTCAACTTCATGGTCATCATCAGCAAGTTGTGGTCGCTGCCAATGTCTGCACCTGGAAAACTTCTTGTTTTGTTAACCTTAATGCAGCTTTTGCATCGCCTATCCAGGAGAATAAAGTCAATCTGATTCCTTGTGGTACCATCAGGTGCTATCCATGTAATTCTTCTTGACGTTTTGTGTTTGCCAAAAGTATTAGCAACTACCAAGTTGTTAAATTTGCAAAATTCTAGCAATCTAGCACCACGTTCGTTTACTTCTCCTACTCCGAATTTTCCTATAGTTCCTTTCCAATTTTGATATACATCACATCCGATCTTTGCATTCCAATCACCTTGTATGATTCTTGTCCTTCTTTGGGATCTTATCCAGTGTTATCCTCAGGCTATCATAGAACTCCTCAGTTTCCTCATCGTTGCAGTCAGCCGTAGGGGCATATACCTGCACAATTGACACGTTTCTAGGGTTAGCATTCAAACGTACTCGAATTACGCGACTTGAGATTGGCTCCCATTCCATTACTATTACTTACTATTACTCTTAGTACTATTTCCAATTATATTCCAATTTTTTTTCTGATTTTTAATTTCATTTCATATAACTTGATAATTTTGATAACGCGAATCAACATTGCGATAGTCATCGTTCTTTTTCATTATCGGTGTATTTACGATAGAGTAATGAATTTACTTAGGGTTGTATACATATATCTGAGACCCGTAAAAATTATAACATAATTCATCAATTTTTCGTTATCATTATAGTATATTCCAAAGTATAGTGGATATTCCAAAGTATATTCCGCCATAATTCTTCGTCTTCTCTATAGATATATTTTTTCTTTGATTATTCATGTATGGTAAATCCTTCGTTTCATTTATTGATAATTTCATTATCTAATTTCTAGATTATTGTGTACTTGTTTTTCACAGTATTTAATTTTATATCTACTAGCTATTGCTATTTTTAGCGAATGTTCGGGTAATGACCTCACTTGACCTCACTCAGGTAGAAGGTACCTACTTATAGCCATCTGATTCGACAGAAAAATACATTCAAGCTACTGTATTTATATTTTAATTCAGTAATCTCTCAGTTTCAGAGATTAATTATATTATACAGCTAATACGATTTCATACTTTTCGTGATTTTTGCTTTCGTAAGTGATCACTAAATGTGAAATTTCCTTGGTTATGCTACCGATTTTCCATTTCTTTCCCTTCAAACGATAATCGTTAGTATGCCGGTCTGATTTCCGAAACATTTTCTTCCTTAATCAATCTTAATCACGAGCCCTACCTCATCATTATTACATGGTCCTTGGTGACGACCCCCAGATGGGTGTGGACATGTAATTAGTGTTAAGTTAATTTATCTTTAGTTGTCCTATATGTGCCAAGCAGCACACTCATCGCTAGAGGCGATCTAAGCGCCGTGCTGCGCCCTTCTTTTATGACTGTGTGAGATTATCGCTGGTATTCCCCAAGAAGATGGGATACCTAATTTGCGTTCTGCATATGAGCTTGTCTATGATCCCCTTCTACGGTTGGGTCCATCATCACTTTTCCTCAGGGAATTTCTTTTTGAGTATATATCACTTACAACCACGAGGGTTGTCTTTCGGCTGTCAGTTGTCCAAGGGAAGCTGACCCAAACCCGCTTGCATCATGCATTGCTCTGTAAGCCTTAGTTTGTTCTGCAACAGACCTGTCGTTTCATTCATTTTACGTACTAATTAAAGTACCATTTTTATGATTTCGTATAAGTAGTTGATTAATATTGCAATTACCTTAAGTTCATTGTTATTAGCGTGAATATTCTTTTTGTGCAGTCAGATCGGCGATTATTTTCTTTGAGTGTAGCTCGCAGTTATTAGC